TTCTTGTTAAAAGTCTTGCTTTGCCAGGAGATTTCATGCATTCCTAGTTCTGCTTTTTTTTTCTGAGTCTCTGAGGAGAAACATAGTTTTTCCTCTTACCTTTTCTGTTATTTTATTTTAGGCAAATATTAGCATAAAACTATTGTTCCAAGTGCTCTAAACCAAAATAGCAGGGAAGGAGGAAGGTCCTCCATATTCAGGGTCACTTATGGTCAAGCAGCAGATTCATTACTTTGGAGTGTTGGTAGAAATGTAGGCTCTGTGGCCTGGTCTCAGACTTACTGAATTCCAGGTTTCATTTCAACAAAATCATCAGATGATTCACAGATATATTAAAGGTTGAGAGGAGAGGCACATCAGTGTAGTGATACCTGAAATATGGCCCATATGCATCACTGAAGAGGGAATCAAGAATGAACAAAGTGCTGCCCTTAGGATTGAAGTAGGTCCAGGTGAGTAAGGTGCATTCTCAGCAGTTATGTTCTCTACAGCTCCTGCTGCAAACACTGTTAGTGAACACTGAGCCATGCTCCTAGGGTAAATAGGTGGGTAGTTTTCTTTGAGTTTCTTTTCACAATATTTTTGTTAACTAACGAATACATAACCTTGTTATTTTGTGTATTTTGTTTAAGAATTTTATTTAATATATATTTATAAGTAATTCATTGTTTGCAGTATTTCTTTGAACAAAAGCATTATCAGAGAAGTGTTTAACAATTTCCTGTTCCTGATTAATGTGATCCCAAATTTTCTAGGCTTTCAACCTTCCAACAATGTTGTCTACCATATCAAAAAAAAATCTGTTGTTATCTCAAGAAACCCCAAAGTTAGTTGTTTGTCTAGTGTTATCACAGAATTATAGTTGTCACTTTAAAAAGTGACTTTACCCACTGATCACCAATTTTATCTTTCTTTTTCCATGGTATTGCATTGTTCATTAGCATATAACAACAGCATTATAACTATAACAAAAGCTGATCTAAAATACTTTATTCCTCTGTTATTCACATCACAGTCTTCTTCAGTTTATGAACACTAGATAACATGTTAGAGATGTGTTTGGGGCCATTTAAATTGACAATATCAGTAACAAAGAGCACAAACTATGAAAAACGTGGCACTCACTAGGCCACACAGGATGCTAATCCTATAGTGAGAAGTAAAACCTGAAGACATTTTTTTTGACTTTCATAGGAAAGTTCTTCATTTGACTCCCATTTTGCAACACTCTGTACATATCTATGAATGAATGCAAAAGCACTGTGAGTACTTAATTTGAAGTGATATAAGTTTTCACAGGTAGACAAATGAGAAATTCAGAAATCCTGACTAATGAAGATTGACTAATGACCCCAACTGACAGAGTTAAGACATTCATGACAGACTTCATTACTTTAAAATCTATATACTGATGTAACAAATAGTTCTTAGGCAACTGCTTTACACTTACTATGCAGCAGGTGCATAGTGAGTATAAAGTATTGGAAGGAAAGAAGATCATCACCATGTTCTTATCTTGAAAATTTTGCCTACCCAATTTGATTCTGCAGTTTATTGTTTTCATTGTTTCTTTTGTTCTTATCTTCCTGGAAGGACTTACTTGAAATGAATTTGGGGAAAGGGACTTAGCCTAATTTTGCTTAGGCAGCTGAGAAGAGGGAACCCAGGAAAAGGGGAACATTTAAACAGACCAGG